GCTCTACCACTAGACCACGGAGGCGGTTATGTACTTAGGAGATAAATATGCTGTGTTTGCAATGTAGAGCTAGGTTACCTGTAGATTTAACAGCACTAATTTGAATTTGGAACCGAATTTGCAGCTTCGATATTCAGTATGTGTGGCAAAACATTTAGTGCAGAAAACACAACAGAAATTTATTCCGACTGATCCTGTTCACTATCTACACATCACCCCTGGGGGACATTGTCGGAAGATTCAATCTACAGTTTCATCTTTACTCAGATGACACACAGCTGTACATGGCATTCAAACCTCTCTGCAGAACATCAGTAGGACATCCTTTTGCGACTGTCTCACCAAGAGATCAGATCAGATCAGAGAATGGATGGCCACTCACTACTTAAAACTCAACGACATGACTGAGCCACTTTATTTTATTTTCCAAATCGAGACTGCGCAGCCTGTCATCACCACCATTTAAAATTGGTAATAGTGACAAGAACACAGGCAGCAATCTTGGGGTTATACAGGACTCTGGTTTAAGCCTCAATGATCATGTAGCGGCCATAAAATTTCCGAGTCCCGTGATGGGATTCGAACCACGGACCTTCTGATCCGAGTTCCGACGCCTTGTCCACATGACCAAAGAGGTTAACCCCGTCAGCAAACTGACAAGGTAAGGATGTCATCTGTGGGATGACTCCACGCCCTCCTACAATCACATCAGAAACATCTGCATACTGGCATACAATATCAGAAATATTGGTCTCTTGAGGAAACGCATCAACCCACATGTAGCTCTCATTCAGGCTTTCGGTACATCTCGACTGGACTATCGCAGTGCTCTTCTGTATGGGTTGCTTAAAAACCAGATCATAAAGATTCAGCGTGTTCAAAACGCAGCTGCCAGAGAGGTAACCCATGCTAGAAAGTGAACATATTACACCTGGGCCCCGTTCCACAAAGCGATCTTAGGGCTAAGTTGATTGTAACTCACTAAGTATGCGATCTTAAATTTTTGTTACGATCAGCGGCCCGTTCCACAAAGCAATCTTAACTAAGAGAGTTGTAAGTTAAGATCAAAATGCTAAGTTGCTCCGGACCAACTTAGGATTGCTAAAATCGATCTTAAATATTGTACCATAACAACAAAGATGGCGACTTTTACTATGGTGTGCAAGGAAATGCGTCGTCTGCTAAACATGACCAAGGGAAAATTTCGTATCTTTATGGCTGAAGATTCCGATCTTTGTTAAGATCGGCTACTTAAGAACTTGTAAAGTTACAACCACCCTAAGATCGCTTTCTGGAACGGTTGTAAACTTTAGCTAAGACAATTTTAGAATCGACGTAAGTCTCTAAGATTGATTGTAGTTATGATCGCTTTGTGGAACGGGGCCCTGTACTATTGCAACTACACTGGCTCCCGATCGCAAAGCGCATCAAACTCAAAATACTTGTGTTAGTATACAAAGCACTTCATGACATAAAAGATCACCCAGGTCTGGTAACCGTCAGCTCCTGTTTGTGCCCCAAACCAGAACTATGTCACTTGGTGACCGATTTTTCCAAAGGCCAGTCCAAAGCTTTCGAACAACATTTCCGTCAACAACAAAAGTGCCAAAGACATCAACCAATTTAAGGGACTGTTAAAAACATAGATGGGGATTTCCTTGTTTGAATCAAAATTTAGTGATTAAGTTAAAAAATCTGACCTGGGTTGTTCGAACGTTTATTGTCATCATTGTATTTGTCAGAAATACCAGATAAATCTAAAATATATACTTCAAGTTTATTATTATCATGTCAATCCAACGTCATTAATCCTTTGCATCCAGTGGAGCGCACGGTCGACATAACTGGCATTTATTCTTAATATGTTTTGAGTCCTTTTGGTAAAAAAACTTTTTAACATATATATATTAATGTTCAGCCAACTTGAGAGTCTTGTCTCATTTAGGTATGATAATTAGTTAACAGCTGTTTATGATCTTTGGTCAGTGATGTTGCTGACCGACTTTTCTAATGTGTGTTGTGGCATGATTTGAAAAGATATAAAACTTCAACTTGGCAAGAATAATATTGTTAAAGGTTTTAGCATGCTGTAAAAATAATTATATTTATTTATATCAATTCCTATCACATAAATAACTCAATTTTACAAACATAAAACTATTCATTAAACCGATTTAGTATAGGAATATGAGCTGGCACACACCATGACACATCTCAATACAAGGGAAATAACTCCTGTATGAGAGCATTACAACAAGCTAGGGATGTCAACTATTTTTTATCACTTGATTAGTTTTAAAGCAAACATCCTTCTGTTTGACTTCATTTTTCCATTATAATTTCATATAAAGTTCTATCTTTAACAATGAAAATGTATAGAAAATTTACATAACTACAACTATTTACTAAAATCTAACTGTAAAGTGACTGAGAAACACTCATAAAATATATATTCAACCAAGAAAGTTAGACTCACAAAGAATGAGAAAGCTCTTGCTTATTTCTACAGCTATCAATGTTTTCTTGAACATTAAACACTTGTGACAGGAAATGTATCTCATTCATTTATGTTCATTCTCATTAATCATGCTAGTTATTGGACTGACTGTAGAACTCCATGATGCTTGCACTAGAAGGTGTATACTCTGTTTCAAACGTATTTGTTAGCAGGTTCTGCGATAGGTCAGAGGAAAGTGCAAAAAGTCATGGACTGGACAAACTCAAGAAAAATATGTTAATAATACAGTTCTGAGATGCATACACAGTAGTGGAAACTAACATACCGGTATTTAGTTCACTGGTCCTTACAATGATAACATAAAGCAAAACCCTTAAATATGGCAAATTTCAACTAGTCCTTAAATACCTAACTATTGGGCAGTCTGGCAAGGACTTCAGGACTGGTGTCAATTTCTAATGCTGATACATGGTGTGTCTTTGCATCAATGGTGTATGGAAAATAGTATTGTCCGTCGGGAGTAGAGTTGACTTTGCAGGGAACAGTTGCATAGTGCTCCTGATGCCCCCATTCGAATGACTAGCTGACGCCCCAAATAGTCCCATCCACGTCTGATGTTATTCCACAATATGTTCTAAAGGTGTATTATTAGGGCTGGTTAAAAAGATCGATTATCTGAATAATCGTTGATGGGAAGAAATATTAACGGTTATCGATATAAAAATTGTGTGATCGATAATTTCTTACATAAGCTATTGTGATGAAGTAAAGTTTAGATTTACCAAAACAGACTTGTTATTGTCAATCATGTCAATTGCCGAAAACGAAAGCATAATCCATGCATAAATGTGCCACCACTCACCAGAGGGTGAATATGTTGATTTCTTTACGGCTTTTTTGCTCAAACTTCTCCAATATTTATCGTCATTGATCAATATTTAAGGAAGAGAATTTATGGATGTCAACATCTGTATTATGACGAAACACAATGTTTCGGAGTATATGCTTACTCCTTCATCAGGTGAATGGTCAGTTAACAATCTCTGTGATCTGTATTGATAGCCATTGTTATTAAATAGGTGATCTCTTCATGGATGAGTAATAAAAGAATGTATGTCAGCAGTAGAAACTAACGTTTTAGATCCACTTGTCCTTTTAATTATAACATATAGTTACACCCTTAAAAATGGCAAATTTGTACTAGTCCTTATTATACCTTAACTATTGTGCAGTTTGGCAAGGACTACGGGACAAGTGCCAATTTCTAACACTGTATGTACATGACAAGTTTACATCCTTACTGGTTCACAGGGCAGACATGTTACATGTCTTAGCTCCTGCTGATCTCAACTATGGAGATTGGGCAGCGTTCCCGTTTACCGGTAATTACCAGATTTTTACCGGTAGGTAAAATAAGGCTTGGACTGGTAATAAATTCATGTGACAGCCATTCCCCGTGGACCGGCAAATAAAGTATGTTATAAATCTTTGTTGTTGAACAAAACATTGGCAATATTCATATAAGTACATTTTTCGAACAAAGTCAGCTTGTCTGTTACCATCAGGGTTTCCCCTTGTCTATTTCTAGGTTAAATATCCATTCGTAGCGACTTCGTCTCCAAATATAAAACAGAGAAGAGAAAATTTTGACTGAAGTTTGTGTGAATGACATATAGATCTAACTAAGTTACCTATGAGATGACATCTTTGCACTGAAAATGATGTTGAAAGAATTAAAAAATGTTCATACTTTTTTTTATTTGTTGAAAGTTGGGACTGGTAAAAATTAGGGGGACTTGTAATTTTTAGAGTTGCCATTCCACAAGGACTGGCAGTTTCAAAAGCCAGCGGGACCACTGATTGTGTCACTCACATATCCACAACACTTGCAGGTAACAGTCAAACCAGAGACATGGCATAAAATAAAGGAACATTATAAAACAAATAAATAACACATGAAACTGATATTTTATCATGTAAAACACAAATATAAAAATATATGTATATGACATCACCAATTACAACTCGGCCCAGCACATTCATTCTCTTATCTACATGCATTCAGTGACACTAACACAGCCTAGCGTATTTTCTTCAGGACCAGTAAAATTTAAAAAAATGCTGGTTGGGTGGTCTAGTGTTATTTGGTTTATTTGTAGGTGGACTACAAGTCACCAAACAATCACATTAGTTGGAACTTTATCTACATGAGATAGGAACCTTTTAATTTCCATTTGAAAATTTTACTGACAATTTTGGCAGATTTGTGGCCAAATATTGGCCTCTGTGCAAGTCTACAGAAATCTCTGTGATGGTTACAAAATGGGATGGGATTCAAGCAAAGAATCTTCTGATCCGATGTTGGATGCCTTGTACACATGACCAAAGAGGTTAACCCCATCAGCAAGCTGACAAGGTAAGAATGTCATCTGTGGGATGACTACACGGTCTGTTACACGATCATAATGTCCATCCATGTGGACTGGTGTCTGTGAAAGTTAGGTCATCAATGAGTATTAGGAGACTTGACAGAAGTACTTACCTTAGTGACACAATTTCTCCTCTTTGGAAGTGATATGCACTTGCTGCCCAACGGTTGAGGAACACATAATCTACTGCCGATCTGCCATCGCCTAGTGGATTCAGGGCCGGCTGCAGGAACAGGTCAAACAGAATTAGTCTGGGGGCCATCCAGTCGATTTGTTGCTGTCAAGTAGTCATATACAATTAGTTTGTTTGTTGTTTAACGCCGCCCTCAGCAATATTCCAGCTATATGATGGCGGTCTGTAAATAATCAAGTCTGGATCAGACAATCCAGTGATTGACACCATGAGCATCGATCCAGGCAATTGGGATAATTGACATGCATCGACCAAGTCAGCGAGCTTGACCATCCGATCCCGTAAGTCGCCTCTTACGACAAGCGAAGTCGCCTTTTACGGGTTGCTAAAGACCTATTTAAAAAGTATGTGACTCAGATATTTGTTATACAATCTGCTTACCTGCATTGAAATTCCCTCGACTTTTACCACACATCCGACGAGGTCTATGAATGTGACTGTGACCGGAACAACAAACGTCACAGTGCCAAGCAGCAGTCTTCGCAGATTTCTTAATGGTCTGATCTGGAAGAATATAACAATCATATATTTTGATGTATGAAAAACGATACTGCTGGATGTCAGCCATAATTTGTAATGGTGAAGGTAACCATCGTATACGTAGACCAGACAAACTAGTGCTAGATATCAAACTATGGGCAACATCTCACTGCCGAATATGTAGACCTGCAATCATTTGTTTGTTGTTTATAACGCCGCACTCAGCCATATTCCAGCTATATGACGGCAGTCTGTAAATAATCGAGTCGTGCCCAGACAATCCAGTGATTGACATCATGAGCATTGATCTACGCAAGTGGGATACGATGACATGCATCAACCAAGTCAGCGAGCCTGACCACCCGATCACGTAAGTTGCCTCTTACAACAAGCATAACAGGTAGATAAAAGGGTTAAAATAAGGACTTTCATCAGAGAGGTTAACAAGACCAAAACAAATCAGAGGCCTTCTCCTTGGTCTAGTGGATGGAGATCAATCCATTTGATAAAATCAGATCTAAGTAATCGCTTCCGCTAAATAAAGGTCTGAGGACATGCCATTAAGGCTCACATCAGACCGACCTTTCATCCAACCAGAGCGTTGCTTACCAGATCAGAAAAGTGACAGTCGGAATGTATTTTCTAATCATGCAACCTTGGAAAAGGTTAACAAGGGCTATTCTGAACAACAGTTCTGGGCTTTAAGACTGAATCTGCGAAATTCATCACCTATACCGCGAGAAAGTTGCTTTCTGTTTGACAATGTCGACTTCTTGTTAGTCATTACATTGGTCAGTCAATGTTCAGAAAGGTCGTTCTGACATGACCTGTTATGGGGTGTCCTCAGATCTTTGTTTAGCGTTAGCAAACAGCAAGATGAGATTTAGATGAGACTAGGGATTGATCTCCGACCACGTCATGCCAAAGGATATTAAAAGATGGTACTTGTTGTTACCCTGCTTGGCACTTGGCATTAAGGGGATAAAACAAGGACTGGTTCATGTAGAGTCAGTATACTGAGTCTCAGTGGGGTATCCGTGTTAAGCATTTCGTCTAAAGGTATCCTATAAAAGGATCAATTAGAAATTAAGGCCACACTTAATTTTATGTTTCACAGATTTATTCCAACTTTTCAACACAAGGTCGGTTGAAATAGAATTAACAAAATTCAATCATTTATTTATCTAAATGAAAGTCATTCTGCCATGGATTTAAAACTGCAGGTGGACATGGAATTTATGAATACCTGTTAACACTTTGCATTGTACATAAGAGGGTTTATATTACCAGCGGGACACATCATAAACATAAATACTTTATATTTAATTTATTTCTTAGACCGGCTGCTTTTCAGTAGGGGTTGTGGGCAAGTGAAACGAAAAATAAAAAATGTGTGGCCTAAAGGTTTTTGGGTGTGATTCCCATATGTTATCACCAAGGTTAAGTTGCATCCCTAAAGAATATACCATTTCCTGAGTGAGTGAGTTGGGTTTAACGCTGCTTTTAACAGTAATCCAGTTATATCACGGCGAGTCAGGTTAATGTGGGAGGAAAGCCCGAAGTGATGCAGGTCTCAGACGTTATCACTTCGGTGAAACCCATGAGTGGGGTTGGTGCTGACAAACCTAGAAACATAATCGTGTCGAACCTGGATTCGAACCCACAATCATAGGTTTCTGGCGTGACCAAGGGATGCAACTCTGAACAGCAATTCGGAGCGCCTTAGACGACTTGGCCACCTGTGCCCCCGATATGAGTGAGTGAGTGAGTTTGGTATTACGCCGCTTTTAGCAATATTCCAGCAATAACATTGTACCCATGTTGGGATTCGAAACCCGGGTCTTCGGCGTGACGAGCGAATGCTTTAACCACTAGGCTACCCGACCGCCCCCCGATATAAGAATGAAGTGGGCAAACTAACAAAAAGTAACGGTCATACTTACCATGACTATATCAATGTGTCTGGGTCCAAATTCTGCATGATAATCCAGTACATGTAGTTTGTTTTAAACTGTGAGACATCAATTGTGGATTCAGTGAACCTGTGAAAATACCAATCACAAAATTATGATTACAAAAACATCACAAATGATACCCTTGAACTGGATCAAATATTCTTAATTTTTGGTTGTGTAACAATTCTTTTAACATGTTTTAATGTGTAATATATCATCATTTCTAATAAGTGAAATCCCAGACTAGATTGCATCTTGTTTGCCTCATCATATCAACTGGCTGGGACACACAAACTACCCGTCTGTGTATGAAGGGTTTCGTTTTTGAATGCGCTCAGTAAAATGTAGAAAAAAGTTACAGCTGTAAAGAATTAAAAAGACATCCAGTGACATGGGATTTTAATGTTGGAATGCCTTATTCTTCACTTGTAAAATATACATTGGTGTGAACATCACATCTCACTGAGAATTAGGGCTGCAACGAATACACTATGAGGCGAATACGATACGTATCACGAATATAGGGTAACGATTATGAATATTTATATACAAATACAATAACAAGCCAGCAGTTGATGTATTATTTATTATATTCAGTGAAACAATAACAAAATAAATTATTTTACATGGTTTGACCATGTTGACAGTGTTAATTATTATTATAATATCATACATTTATATACTGCATTATCCAGGTACTAGTATCTGTTCAAGGGCGACAATATCCAATGACCACATTGCTGTCAAATTAAATATATAAGAGTGATGTCTTTGAAGAAATCTACGTAGGCATATAATAAGTTCTTCTGTATTTTGTACAGGTACAGGTTATGTAAATGCACATGTCTGCATAATCATGGTTGCAAAAAAACAAACAGTGATCAAACGCCACAACACTACCTTTGGGGTCCAAATAACTCATGAGCATTATGGACAATCAGCCGTTGACTGAACTGGAGTTGTAGATGACCCACACAACGTACTACTGCATGGCTTGTATATATTCCATTTTGCATATCTTGCTTTTTATAAATAACAGACAACTTCAAGTTAAAAAATCTCTTTTCATTTTTGTTTTGTAAATACTCGATTCTAGTGACCACGATTAATGAATTCAATTCATGAAAGGATACAGTTCTAGTCACCGAATACGCTAGTGAATCGTAACAGTTCAACTGCATCTTCCCGAGACAATGGAGTTAACTGACTGTATAAGTCCAGTTTCCACCCTTGCCGAACTAGGCTGGAACTTCTGGGCACGATCGTAGAGCCACCAATGGCTATTACGGGTTATGTCCCTTCTATGTCCCTCATATTGACCAATCAGATTCCATCTCTCATATCACTAGCTTTGCTTCAAACAAAACGACGGCACCCAGTGACGATGATCTGATCGATAATCAAGATCTATATTGTAATACAACGGATCGTACTTTGCCAAGTGCATCAAATCACTTGATCACGTTGATTTTTTTAAAAACATGAAAAGATTGGAAAAATATTGGTTGACTCTAAGTTGACGAAACACATGCATTGCAAATCCTGCAATCGACCGAAATCTGCTCGGCAGTTTATGAACCGGATGTTGATATCATTATGTGATTGTGATTGGACTATGCATAGACTCGGTAGACTTGGATCTAAGTAGGGAGTATTGCACCCGATCCATTTAGTCGTGTCTTGTGACCAGAACAAAGAATTATGACACGGAACTGACATGGGGGTAAAATCTTATGAAATGGCTTCGATAACAAATGCAAATAGATACATTTAAGAACATTTCTGTAAATGTAGTGTAGATCGACACAATTTTGTAAATGAAACATTTACATAACATTGTTATAATCAAAATGACAAAGCTCCACATCTCCTTCAAGGAGTCCTTGGCCAGCTGCCCTGTGTAGCATCTAGCGTCAAAAGAAAGCTAGATTTACTTCAACATCAGGTACTTTCTTCTGGAGAAATGGTCTCTGTTTCTTCGTATGACTTTGACACTCTCGAAATCGGTTTGTAAACCAGTGAAGTAAGCACGTCTGAAAAGCTCCCACGGTTGTTTACAAACCTTTCTAAATGGCCTCCAAGATCACAGGTGTTTACATTGAAATTGTCTCGATAAATGTTTAGTAGCAAGGTGTTATCAACTTTAATTACGTCATGACTTTGACAATTCTTACTTTTATCAGCATCGTGAGACAACGCACCTGCTTGCAGACGAATTTAGAACTCTTTCGTTTGTGAGTTACAAATATGAGTTCTTACAAAAGTGAAACCACCGTTAAAACGGATTGCGGAACTAGTTTTTCAGGAACAAGGAATTATGAAGTGTGATTTCCATTAAACCCTGTTTCTTGACATCATGTTTATTTTTCATGCATTCACACAATGTGGGTAGCCATGGTCAACTCTTTGAATATAGGAGGCCGTATGATTTTGCTCAAATGCAAATTGGTTTCATCAGTTTAGTTACCAGTGTATTTCTAACGTAACAAATGTATGGTCTCTGATTTGGGATAACACTTTCTCAGTAAAGTACAGATTCTCGTACTTTTGGGGGCTCTGTCCAAGGACTCATCCCAAAAAAGTACGAAAATCTGTACTTCACTAAGAAAGTGTTATCCCAAAATAAGATTTGTTACGTTTGACCACTTTCTAAATGGCATTGTGTATTTCAGTGTATTTCTAACATGCTATTGAAGATCTGTTATTTCACTCTATACACGAAATGCAGCACATATGCCCGGGGATCTCAGACATGGCAAGTGCGCGAGAAATGTCGTAACTTGATACACACGGTAGCATTCGGCACGTGTAGGGCAAACCGCCATAGCTTATTACATAAGATAAAGCAATAACTCTCGGTGCACTCCTGACTAATGTATTGAAAAGGCACCCCGTTGTGCCATAATTACAGTCTGTCGACCATCAGCATCACATCGCGTATACACAATCACAATGACTCTGATCATACTACAAACAAGCAACGGAAAAAACCCGACATCCTCCCCAAATCACCACTATACAGTTTTAAACTTGCTGTAAAAGGTGACTGTGTTTGTCGTAAGAGGCGACTAACGAAATCGGGTGGTCAGGCTCGCCGACATGGTTGATGCATGTCGTCGTATCTCAAGTGCGTAGACTCGATTATTTACAGACCGCCGTCATACAGCTGGAATATTGCCTAGTGCGGCTTTAAACAAACAACAATAACAGTTTAAAACAACACAGTTCATGGTCCAGTGGGCAGATAATCCCCTACCTGTTCCCCTTATTCCCAAGTGGACTAGACTAACAACATACAAATACATAAAAACAACAACAACAAAATATCAATACAAATATTTTTATTTTCGCATTGCATATGTAAAAGATTTCTCAAATAAGAATTATATCATAAAGCATTACTGTAAATTTGCAGGTGTGTCTTTGAAGCAGACGTTATTCAAAAGTAACATAATCGTTTTAGTTTCAACAAAATCAGTAAATGCGCTATCGTGCGTAGGACAGTCTGATCTATCACGTGAGTGTCTGGTAAGACTCGATTGTATATGCCACAACCGTATGACAGGAGTGTTGCTGCGCGTTGTCAGACAACACTCACTATTTTATCGAAATTGTGCGAGTGGTGGGTTCGACTGGGAGTGCACAATACCTGGCGTCATCACCGATTTTCAGTAATCCATTCATATTATTTTCATCGCTAGTTTGCCTTTTATGCGCTATGGAATCTGTATCGGTAGATAATAGAGACTGGCGTTTTATATATATATTTAAGTGAGTGAGTTGGTTTTAAAGTCTCTTTGGGAAGTATTTCAGTTATTTTCACGGCGACAAAGAGGAACAAATATACCGCCGTGGTGCAATCATGTCATACAGTGAGTGAGTGAGTCTGGTTTAACGCCGCTTTTAACAGTATTCCAGTCATATCACGGGTGTCAGCTTAATGTGGGAGGAAAGCCCGAAGTGATGCAGGTCTCAGACGTTTACCACTTCGGTGAAACCCACGAGCACGGGTATGGTGCTGACAAACCTAGAAACATAATCTGGGCGAACCGGGATTCGAACCCACAATCATAGGTTTAGGCGTACCCAAGGGACGCGACTCTGCACAGCGAATCGCGGCGCCTTAGACGACTGGGCCACCCGTGCCCCCTCATGTTATACAGATCGTTTTCGAACATATGAACACGAACAGTTTTGATATCAATTTCACATGATTAAGTTATCCCACACAGAGTATTACATAAGCCATGTATAGCAGATGTTTACAACACCATAATGTTTGTTTACAACTAATTACAAACATTGCATACCAAAATATAAATCAAGCGTACTTTCATAATTATGTGACTTTCAAACTTGGAAACTATCCGTATCGATCTTATGACTACATTCCTGTTAATGGGCTTATAAATCCTTCTTGTGATATTAACTTCACACCAAGTTCTAAATGCCACTGAAAGAAGTTACTAGGCTGAAAACAGTAGCCCGAAACACTGCAAACGGAAGGTCCATAAACACAACTATGATACCCGTATCAAATTCATCAACCTCGATTAACAATGTCTTGTTTGTTTCATTTTTAGCCACCATCAAACAGGGGTGTGTACTTTCTTCTACCCAGCACTTAATATGACGCCAACTTGCGATAAAAGAAAAGGATTTTCATTTAATTAAGAAATGCATTTTATTTAAAATTTTCTCGAAGTTATTTCTTTTCCTAACTACTAAGATAGAACTACCTTGTAAAGTTATGTCAAAATTATGCATTTGTTCTAAAATATTTGTTTTGTAAATGATTCCTTAAAGGATTGGCCTTGCCAATGAAAAAAATGAATAAATGAACTTAACATGTTTATGTAACGTTTAAAACAGTTGATTCTGTCTAAATCTGGGGCGGTCGGGTAGCCTAGTGGTTAAAGCGTTCGCTCTTGTCATGACGAAGACAGGGGTTTGATTCCCGACATTGGTACAAAATGTGAAGCCCATTTCTGGTGTCCCCCGCCGTGATATTGCTGGGATTTTGCTAAAAGCGGCGTGAAACCATACTCACTCACTTTCTAAATCTACGGCAAAGAAAAAAACTGGGTTTTTCATGCTGAAATGATTATACTGTGGTGTATAACATAGTATGAATAGAATAAATATAAGTTAAATTTATGTTTGTTGTTCTATAAAACAGATGTCAGGTTTTAATTTTCGAGTTTGCTTGTATATTTTGTTTGTTTTCGACTTTGAAGTGCTTACTTTCTGAACGTATAGGTGAGGTGAGGTGAATTGGGGTTAACGTCTCCACCGACCTTCCTCTATCCGGCCAGACGCCAGAGGCTCTATCCCCCAGACCACGGGGGCAGTCTTAAAGATATATAATCGTATAAAAGGAATATTCTCAGTTGTAAATCAAATGTATTTTTCTGAATGAGTGGGAATTAAAGAAGATTTACTGGATTAGAAGCATGGAAGTGGTACACCACATACACCAACTCCAATTGCGTAGATCGATGCTCGTGATCATTATCACTGGGATGTCTGTTCCAGACTCGATTATTTATAAACCGCCGTCATATAGCTTAAATATTTCTGAGTGCGGCGTTAAACAACAAACAAACAAAGATACACCTTCACATACAACATGCACAAAACCTACAAAAACAGAAACCTACTGAATATATGAAACAGAAAACATATACTATTACAGACATCTCCCGTTTCAGTGTGAACCACGGGGACCCAATCCGCCCCGGGGACCCAACCCGACCCTTTACCAATGGACATTGAAAACAGCCGCTCCGTAATCCAGATGTCGCATGGGTGCTACCCAATCCTCGTATGTATACAGGTGGACATGATAATTACTTAATAGCGCTGTGATATTCTCCATTAATGGTGCAACGTTTGATGTATACTTTCTCCGTAAGAAATATCCATGTAATGATATAAGAAGACGATGTACACGGGTAGAGCACATGGTCTAACAGATGCACCCCCCGCCGGTACAGGGAGAGGTACACTGGCCCAGTGGCAGGGGGTCGTTTCAAAGATGGCGCTGGCCATCTCTGTCTATAATACCATATGAGGTTCAGTCTGTAGTATAAAACAGACCGATATTAAACGAGAGGCCATATTCACTTTCCGCCGTCAACAACCAACGGTCCGCTCTCAGTTCTTACCTGAATAAGCAATTCGTCGCTCGGTTGTTAAGATTATCTCTACAACTTTGTAATCTAAACTACTTTCCGTTTCATTTTACGCCACAACACCTTCCAACTAGCCATGGACGCCATCAAGAAGCAGATGCTCTCCATGAAGTCTGACAAGGACAGCGCGCTCGAAAATGCCGAGATGTTGGAACAGCAACTTAAAGACATCGAGGAGGAGAAGGCTAAAGTTGAGGAGGACCTCCATGCTCTCCAGAAGAAATTTTCCAACCTCGAGGTAGAATTTGACAACGTCAACGAGCAGCACCAGGAGGTCAATGCCAAGTTGGAGACGTCGACCAAGAAAGTCACCGAGATGGAACAAGAGGTCAGTAGTACGTCCTCCAGGGCTACCACGTTGGAGGAAGATCTGGAGAGGTGCGAGGAGAAACTGCAGACAGCTACTATCAAGCTGGAGGAGGCATCCAAGGCTCAGGATGAGACGGAGAGGTCACGCAAAGTTCTGGAAAACAAGAACATTGCTGACGATGAGCGCATCGATCAGCTAGAAAATCAACTAAAGGATGCTCAACATATCGCCGAGGAAGCTGAAAGTAAGTACGACGAAACTGCCCGTAAGTTAGCCCTGACAGATTCCGATCTGGAGCGAGCTGTCACCCGTTTTGAGGCTGCTGAAACCAAAACCATTGAACTCGATGAAGAATTGAAGGTCGTTGGAAACAACATGAAGTCCCTTCAGATCAGCGAGCAGGAGGCTAGCCAGAGAGAAGGGACGTTTGAGGAGACCATCGCAGACTTGACTCAAAGGCTCAAGGACTCGGAGCACCGCGCAGCGGATGCCGAGATGACAGTGTCCAAACACCAGAAGGACATCGACCGCCTGGACGATGAGCTACTTACAGAGAAGGAGAAGAACAAGGCCATCCATGACGAGTTGGACCAGACATTCGCCGAGCTCGCCGGATACTAACTGTGAATGTGTACTACAGACAGGAAACATGCCAGTGTTCT